ATACAAGTCTCTGTGTTTACTTGGTTGGGTCTGAGTGGCTGTGGGACTGGCAGGTGAGAGAGATTTGTCCTGACTGTGGGCCAGGCAGGAAAACTCAAGCTACACCTTAGGGTTAACAGCATCATGTGGTGTCTCACAACCTTAACTGGGATTTCAGGGAATCTGAGTCTTCTCACCTCTGTGGGTACCAGGCACATGTATGGTACACATACAGACATACAGGCAAAAATATTCATACACATAAAATAAGTAAATCTCAAATATAAAAAGGCTGATGTTGTACAAATGCTAACAATTTTTCTTTAGGTAGCTGGTATGTATCTTGTTTCTTTCAGCTTGGGTTTGTTTGCAAGATATACAACTTTATTTAATTAGAATCAAGAATATTCTCATTTGGAGGGCTGTAGAAATGACCTGGTGGTTAAGAATGCTTCCTGCCTTGCAGAAGACCTGGGTTCGGTTCCCAGCACCTACATAGCATCTCATATTTCCCTGTAGCTCTAGTTCCAAGGGATCTGTAACCCTTAAGAATGCTTCCTGCCTTGCAGAAGACCTGGGTTCGGTTCCCAGCACCTACATAGCATCTCATATTTCCCTGTAGCTCTAGTTCCAAGGGATCTGTAACCCTCCTCTCACCTCGGCATGCTCTTGCATGCATGGAGCTCACATACATACACTCAGGTACACAACTACATATAAAAATTAATTAAATGAAAACTCTCCTTTCAAAATTAAAATAGTTCTTCGCAGAGCAGTGGTGGCGCCTGGCTTTAATCCCAGCTCTCAGGTGACAGAGGCCCATAGATCTCTGAGTTTGAGGCCAACCTTTTATACAGAGTGAGTTTCAGGACAGTGAGGGATACTCAGATGAACCCTGTCTCGAGAAACCAAAAACAATAAATAAATACAATTAAATAGTTGAATTATAGTTTATGCCTACATTATTAGAATTATGAGAAAATCATTGATATCTTTCTAATGTTGCATCTAAATTTTGTGTAAAATAATCTGACATAATATATTTGGGGACATTTTTTTCTCATTGGTACCAAGTACATGACCTAGTTCCTGATGAGGTTATTGGTTATTGATGGACACAGGCCGCCCTCGCTTCCATTTTTGTCTCTGTTCCTGTCTTGTGGTCCTCTGTACTTTGCCTGCTACTATAGCACATGTACCAGATGCTCTGCCCTTCCTGAACTCTATTCAGGACGATGCAGCTTTAACAGAGTAGTTGAGATCCTGTCCTCTCACTGCCACGTTCGGTGCCTGTCACTCAGCAGGATTGTTCACTTCTAATTCTAAGGAGTGACTGGAAAGTGTGTAGAGTTTGCTCCAATCAGATGCCCTTTTTGGTTTTATTTTCACCCTACTAGACTGAAAGTTTGCACATAGTCTTCCCTGTGACCTGGTATGTCATTTCCCTCCGAGACGGTGAATATAGACAACTCTACCTACTAGGATTGGAGACAGTTTAAAACATCAATAAATATAGGGGAGAAAGGAAGGCTGTTCAATTAATATGGAAGATAGTTCTCCTGCCTTTAATTGTTCCGTCTTCTGGTACTGCCAGAGCATCTTAATTAGGAACCCAGTGAGCAGAAGGCCATTCTGAATCTCCATGGAGGAGTCCATCGTTTAAATTCCTGGTTTCCTTTTCTTGTCTTCTTTTTTCCTTCTGGCTGTTTAAAGGAGACTTATTTATTGTCACTGTTTCACATATACAAAGAGTTCATTTCTGTGTTGTATATTTGGAATATTTACTACTTCCTGTGTAAAGCAGATGAGAACAGAGAGGCTCCTCCTCCACCCCACTTCCTCCTCCTCCTCCCATTCCTGTGGGAAATTCCAAGCATACCCATAACCAGATAACAATGGTGCAGCAAGCCAATAAAGTGCCAGCTCAAGACCAGTGTGGTTCCGGCCATAGTTCCACTCCATCCTCGCCCTGAGACCGTCCCCGCCTCCATCGTGTCCACAATTTTATGAAGTTCTAGAACATAAAGAACATCTGTTGCTGTCACTTACTCTAGAAACAGAACTGCAGCCTTACACTTGATATTTTTTTCAGTGCTTATCCTGAGAAAGCTCTGACTGTATGCCACACAGTCTCTGAAAATTCACTTTAGGTTTTATTCTCTTGTGGAAAGGTAGTTTACTCTCCTGCTTAAAGCTGTATAGTCATCCCATCACATGACTCTAGCTTGACTACCCAAATCATTGTACTTAGCTTACTTCATTTTACCTGGATAATGCTTTGTCCTCGGATATCTGCATGACTCATTACACTTCATTAAAATCTTTTCCATTCTCATCTGCTCCTCACAGCGTGTGCTGTCACCTAGTCAACCTTTTTGTTATGTTTTTTTTTTAATGGCATTTTCTGATTTGTTTTTTGGACTAGTATTTTAATGCCCAAGTTGGCATGAACATGAAATCCTCTGCCTTCTGTGCACTGAGATTGGACTCATAGCCATAGGCAGGACTGCCCCATCTTTTTTTGAATACTAATTTAAGGGAGGAGAGGGAATTGAGAGTTAGTTACTCTTGGCTTTGTCTGTGGCAAGAATTTAAAAATCAAACAAAGGTGATGAGTGGTCTGGAAACGGCTGCCTCTTGGAAACACCAGTTGACTTACCATCTTTACAGAATATCCCAGAATTAGTTCCAAAATAATGTCGGAATAATAATGAATATTTGTTAGGATACTCTTTTATTTATGATTTGCCATCATAAAAGATGTAGTTGTGTGGCTTTGTGATCATTGGGGTTTCATGCTAAATATCAACATGCCTGTGCTAGAGAACCATGATTTTGAAGAACCAGCAGTCAGTGGTTTGGACTATTGCAAATCTTACATTTCGACATTATGTTTATATCTTTCCATAACCACTGAATAAGGTCCCATTTCTTTTCTTTTTTTTTTTTTTTTTTTTTTTTGGTTTTTTGAGACAGGGTTTCTCTGTGTAGCTTTGCGCCTTTCCTGGAACTCACTTGGTAGCCCAGGCTGGCCTCGAACTCACAGCGATCCGCCTGGCTCTGCCTCCCGAGTGCTGGGATTAAAGGCGTGCGCCACCACCGCCCGGCCCCATTTCTTTTCTTGAAATGAGTTCAGGCTGGGCGGTGGTGGCACATGCCTTTAATCCCAACATGGGAGGCAGAGGCAGGCGGATCTCTGTGAGTTAGAGGCCAGCCTGGTCTACAAAGTGAGTTCCAGGAAAGGCGCAAAACTACACAGAGAAACTGTCTCAAAAAACAAAACAAAACAAAACAAAAAAAGAAAAGAAATGAGTTCAGATAACTCTTTTTGTGCACTTGTGTCATATAAACCTTGCCTTGGGTCATACTTCACCTCCTTTGTTTGTATCAATTTTTCCATGATTTCCATCTTCTCTCCATACCTTAGCTTGGCATCATCAAATAAGATTGGCATTGCCTTTACTGCTCATGGATGTATGTATTAAGCATTTCATGGAATCTGTATTAAAAATAGTTAAACTGCTTATTTCCTTTCTAGTAGTCTGTGCTAGGGATATTTGGGGTGTAGATGTATTTACAAATATCTCTGGTAGCGGAAATGATGATGTTTCCTGTTACAGCCATGACTCTTCCCTGCTCATCCTGCTCCCACTCCTTCACCCCATGCCTTTTCTTTTGTTCTGTGTCCTCTGAAGGGGGGGGGCTGGGGAGTTGTGCATTCAGCCCAGTTTTACTGTGAACCTAAAAGTGCTTTAAAACTAGAGATGGAGGGAATTCATAGACATCAGGACTGATTGCACCTGAGGTTATGGAGATGCAGCATTTGAGTAACTGTTGGAACTCGATGAATGTTAGAAACACTTTGTTGTTTGGAGCACGTGAGCTACTTGGGTGCCTGCCCTGCATGCAGGAAGCACTGGGTTGGATCCTCTCACTTCAGAAAGCTAGCACAGGTGCAGAGCTTTAATCCTAGCAAAGTGGAGCAGGGTGACCAGAAGTTTAAAGTCAAGGCTGGGCTTGATAGTGTATGCACTTAACCCCAGCACTCAAGAGGCGGAGACAGGAGGATCTCTGTAGTTCAGGGCCAGCCAGGACTACATAGTGAGACCCTGCCTCAAAAAGAGTTCAAAGTCATCCTCAGCTGCATAGTGACTTTGAGGCAGCCTGGCCTGCGTAAAATCTGTTTCCAGCAAACCAACGGACACTAATAAAGGAACAGAGCACCTTACTGCTTTTCCTAACTAGAGGTTCTGTGTAGAAGGAGATAGACTAGTTTCTACTGTATCAGAGTACTCAAGGAGTATAGAAATTACCCAGAGTAGCTGAGAAAGGCAATATTTGAATAGATGAATTGTTTTTCATCAATTGAAAGTGTTTCTCAAACATCATGCCTTTTTATGCCTTCACTGTAGATAAAAATAAAGAATGGGTTCTTTGAATCCATTATAAGTAACCTAGCAGGTAGGTCTGCTGCCTCCTCAGTGAACTTTGGCTGTTCAGATGGATTCATTATTCCTTTCCTAGGGATCTCATTGCTAAATTTCTAGAGTTGTTTTGTTTGAGTTTTGATTTCGTTTGTTTGTTTGCTTGTTTGTTTTCTAGACAGGGTTTCTCTGTGTAACTTTGAAACCTGTCCTGGAACTCTCTCTATAGACGAGGCCGGTGTTGAACTCACAGAGATCCACCTGCTTCTGCCTCCTGAGTGCTGGGATTAAAGGTGTGTGCCACCACCGCCCAGCTGATTTTTTTTTTAATGAAGCCTTTTACTGTTGCCCAGGCTAACCCTGATAAGATCCCTTCCTGTAGCCTCCTGAGTAGCTGGGTACAGCATTTGCCAACAGCCTGGCCAGTTTACTGTTAGTTGGAGAGCTTTCTAAGAACTTGCTTGATCTTCGGTTCATGAATTGCCCCTGTGTTTTATGTAATATTATCTATTTCAGCTGATTTTGTTCTCATCTGTCTTTTTGTTGCACAGTTTGGAGAGGTTTACATTCTTTTTTTTTCTTCTTCTTCTTCTGTAGCGCTTCCCCCTGGAAGTCCTGGCCCCATTACTCGACATGGGTCCTATGACAGTTTAGCCTCCGACCATAGTGGACAGGAAGATGAAGAATGGCTTTCCCAGGTAAAACTCGGATATTTTGTGTTTGTTGCAATAAGGGAGCATGGAAATCTGCGTTTATTCTATTCTTTTCCTTATAGGAAAATGGAGATAATTGGTAACTCTTTGTGAGTCACCAGAATTATGAGTATTTCCTTATTAAGAATGTCTTAGAAATATTGTTCCAGGAATCCACACATATATTTTCCTTGTACATTTTACATATATCCTTCATTGATATTATCTGTGCTTGTGCAAATGTTTGCTTTGATTCTGGGCACACAGAATGTCCAAATGCTTTCATTGGGAAAGTTCAGCATTGCTTTCTTCCAGTTCCTGCTGGAATTTCTTTTCTGGTTTCACCCAGGCCACGCTGTTACTGGTGGCCATTCCTGAAACAGCTTCACCTAGTCACCCCTCACCTTACTATGTGGCTCTGTCTTCAAGTGAAGCGCTCTCATTTTAAAGCAGCTTGGGCAGATTTCACAGTGGGGCGATTACAGGGACTTCATTATAGATGCTGTCGTGTCTGCCTCCAGCCTGACATCATTTGGTGAGGTTAATGACCTGTCTCGCATTACCCATTTGGCAGCCTTTATCAGACAGGTGCCTCAGAGAAGTGGGACCCTTTGTGATGTTCTCAGGGAGGGTAGCCTGAAAAGCTGCAGTGGCCCTAGAAACTGGAGGAACAAACCATTCCTGCTTGATGTGTGTTTATTCCAACACCCAACAATGCTCACGGAATGCTCCGTAATGACAGTCCGTCTCCTGACATGCTGAGGTCCTTCCTCGCCTGCTAATATCCAGAAAAAAGAAACCCACTGTGCACTCGTTCTGTCCAGGAGTGCTGGCAAAGCACCCACTGTCCCTCACTTCAGCCTTGCTTTCAGAAGAAGCGGTAATGTGTGCTGTCAGGGTGAAAGTGCATGCAATATGTTTGTCCTGCACACAACAGGAACGGGAATACAGCAACATCTGGCTATCGCCTCAGTGAAATTGCACAGGCATATGTTTACCTCTCGGCTCTGTGACACTGATGGTTTTGAGCTTAAAATATACACAATTCTTTATCTGTGGCCTAATTTACATTGCCAAATGCAACTCTGAGAATCAGAAATCACTGTCCTTGATCTAAGTGTTTTCTCCCTGTCATTAGTGGGCATGTGAATATCCTTCCCAGACCAGCATGCCTGGGCCCTCTCGAACTCACACATGCCTTTGCACTCTGTGAACTTTGTCAGTTGTGTTTTGTTAAGACTTAATCACTGCAATCTGAGAAATGTAATTAAGTATAAAAGAATGAGGGCAGGACTCGAGGCACGTGGGAAGCCAGTTTGATAAAGCCTTTTTGCACAGAGGTGGATACAGCACCGGCAAGGCTGGGGGAAGTATAGTTGACTTTTGCTGAAGATTTGCACAAGCTGTTCTTCAAAAGGATCGTCTGCGGAGTCCTTTTCAGGGTCCCCTGTCTTCTGTCTCTTTTTTCTCATAGTATTGAGTATAATCCTGGCAGCACTCCACCCCTTCCATGGAGCGTGATGCTTATAAAACTTCCAAACTACTGTTTTACTGTGTGTAAAACCCTTTGTCAATGTTTATGACAGTTGAGAAAACATTTTGATCAAGTATCAGTTACATGAAAGAAAACATAATAGCTGCTTTATTGAAAAATAGATGTTTGGGCTGGAGAGGCAGCCCAGTGGTTAAGTGCATGGAGTCCCCAGCTCCCACACTGGGAGACTCACAGCTGCCTGTAGTCTGGCCCCTAGGGATCCCATGCTATCATCTGGACTCCCTGGGCACCTGCACACATGTGACATACCCTCACACAGATACATAACACATAAATAAAGATAAATCTTGAAAAATTATGTAAAAAGTAGATGTGAGAACACTTGGAAGCAACATAAATATACTATTGTGTTATACAAGGAAAGCAGCTTCATTTGTGAAATTATTTGGGACCTTATCTTAGCTTTATAGAGCTAAGAACAACTGCACATTTTTCAAGAGCTTGAAAGAACAGTTTTTAGTTGCTCCCATTGCGTGCCCACGTTGTGGTCAATACTGACCTTGTTGGGTTTACAAAGGCAGTCAGTCCCTAAGGAGCTCATGCTAGTTCCATGGGGTAGACAAGTCAGGTTTTCAACTCTACAATCCCATTCGCTTTCATGGAATTTTTGGGTTTTAGATACACAATATGGTGCATATGTTGTGTGTATGTTGATATATGTACATTTCTACAATTTTGGGTTAAATTTTTCTTGAGATTATAATATAATTACATAATTTCCCCTTTCTCTTTCCTCCTTTCAAACTCTTCTATGTACACACACCCCCCCCATTTTCTTTAAAATTCATGGTCTTTTTCTCTTTATTTCATGGTGATGGTGGCGTGTGTGTGTGTGTGTGTGCGCGTGTTTATTCCTAAATAGATGATTACAACCTGCTCAGTATAACAGTCTATGTGTATTTTCAAGGCTGACCATTTGGTACTGGATAGCCAGTTTGTGTACCCTCTCCTGGGAAAGACCCTTTCTCCCCTCAGCATTCCTAGTTGCCTGCAGGTCTTTGTCTGTGGCTGGGGCTCTGTGAGCACGCCCCCTTCCCTATTAGCATGTCTCTTGGGAACATGTTCCTGTTTAGTTGTGTTTAGGCATCCATGTTTGTGAGACTTCATGGGTACACCTTCTCAGACATTTCTAGGAGACTTGATCTCACAACAAACTTCCTATCTCTCTGGTTCTTCAAATCTTTCTGTCCCCTCTTCCACAATCATCCCTGAGACTTAGATGTAGGAATATGTTGTAGGTACATTCATTGAGACTGGGCTCCACAGCTATGCATTTTGATTGGTTATAGTTTTCTGTAATGGTCTCTATCTGTTTCAAAGAGATGATGAGGGGTAAGAACTAATCTGTGGACAGAATGATAGCTCTTGAGAATATAGTAGAGATTATGCTGCCTTAGTAAAGTGGAGGCTGTAGATTCTTCTCCAAGATCCATTACCATATTAGTCTCCAGTAGTTAGCTAGGGTTCCAGTACGGAGTGATTTTCCTCTTGTGGAGCAGGTCTTGGTCCAATTAGAGAGCTGTTGCTTACCACGAAGGCATATGTACTGCTGTTGTGCCCTGAGTGTTTGGTGCCTTGCTGGTCATTGTGGTTCATAGGTGCCAGAGCTGGTTTGCTTCCCTCCTTTGGAAGCTTGCATGGCAAATTCTACTATCATGAAAGCTAGTTCCCAGGTAGGAGGCTTTCAGGTCAGATGCTGTCGAGTCCTTGGCTCCTGGGTCTGAAGTGCATGGCATCTTCAGCAATAGGGACTTGCATAAGCAAGGGCAATAGCAGCATTCTGTAGTGTTTTGAGAGGCTTTGACAACCCTGACCAACCATGCCAAAGAGCGCTTCTCATCCCTGGTATTGGGACTTTTGTTACACTATAGCTCTTGCAGGAAGCAATTTGGGTTAAGATTTTACTTTAAATTATGTGCATATGTATGTGTATTGGGGTTCTCTGAGAGTTCAGAAAGGAGTACTGCACCCCTAGACCTGGACTTCTAAGCCATTTGAGCCACTGGTTGTGTATACTGGGAACCAAATTAATTCCCCTGTGAGAACAGGAATGTCCATGTAGGTGATGATTGTGATTATATTTTTGCTCCAGGTGCTCTCTCTGTCTTTATGTCACTAAAAGGGAAGGTGGGTTTAAGAAGAGGTGCAGGGCTTGTGACGTGACCTCTGCAGGCCATAATATATCAAAACCACAATTCCGTCTCTTTTTCAGGTTGAAATTGTGACACACACTGGACCCCACAGACGCCTGTGGATGGGTCCCCAGTTCCAATTTAAAACCATCCACCCCTCAGGCCAGACTACGGTCATATCATCTAGTTCGTCTGTGTTGCAATCTCACGGTCCTAGCGACACACCACAGCCACTCTTGGATTTTGATACAGATGATCTAGATCTCAACAGTCTCAGGTAAGAAGAGATAGAAAACCAGGAGGTTACTTGCAAGTCAGGATTGATGTCTTCCTTTGAAACATGTGTCCTGTGCAGTGTTCACATTTCTCCTTTTGACTCAGAATCCTGGTGTTGACTCCATGTTACCTGTCGTCACTCAGGGGCTGAGCACATGCAACCAATCCTTCTGAAATGCCTTTTTGCTAATACCAGAGGTTTATGGGTCTTTGTTGATATGGTGAATGTGCCTTTCCTCATCTTTCTTCACCTGTGCCTTTCTCATTACCTTGCATCATGCAAGACGGAGTGTTAGTGAGATTCATTTGTAATTTGTGGCCTGGTTCTTCCCAGGTACTCTCTGCTTCTTATATGTCAGAATTATATACATATCTAAAATATATGTTTTTCATCTTGATTTTTGTGATGCAATTTAGTTATTTTTAAATTTTGGAGCCTAGCATTTGCATAGCATTTAATTTGTCTGTCTAACAGACACCAGTAGCTACTGAAGGGCTCAGTTTAATGTAATACAATCTCCATTTTACTTGTCTTTTCTTTTAAAAGAATTCTAGGACTGGGATATGGCTGAGTGCTAAAGGGTTTCCTCATATGGCTGAGGCTGAGTCCAGTCAGCCTCCATCAGGAAAAAAATCAGTCTGTTAATAAGCTCTGACTGGGTATAATTGCACACATCTTTAATCCCAGCATTCAAGAGGCTATGATGGGTGGTTTGTGAGTTCAAGGCCATAAGAACACCCTTTGCAAAATTTTTAGATATCTATTATGTATTGTATATTTTTAAAAATAAAATTATGGGAAATTATATTCTAATCACATGATGAAATATACCTTTATTCTTTGTCAGCAGCAATAAAAATTGTTTTTAAAAAAATAACAAAACCAGGGTTGGAGAGATGGCTCAGCAGTTAAGAGTACTGACTGCTCTTCAAGGGGACCTGAATTCAATTCCTAGCACCCACATGGCAGCTCACAACTATTTGTAACTCCTGTGCCAGGGGATCTGACACCCTCACACAGACATACACGCAGGCAAAACAGCAATGTACATAAAATAAAAGAATTATAAAAATTTATAAAAATAAAACAATAACAAAAATCAAGCTGGGTGTGATGGTGCATGCCTTTAATCATAGTACTCAACAGAGCTGGTTTGATCTCTGTGATTTTAAACCCAGCCAGGACCACATAAGAGAGACCTTGTCTCAAAACAAAACAAAACCAAAATGGTTGCCCGGCTAGATTAGGCTTTCGAAAATTTTTTCATTCTTTAAAGGCAGGATGTAGTTGTTGTGTGCATGCCAGGCACTCGGTTTGGAACTGGGAACTATGCATAGAAGGGCTGGGATGTAAATGATGCCACTTGCCCACCTGACTTTTCTTGTGGTGGTGTCTAGAGAGCATTGAGCATTTATTTCACTGTCTGGACAGAAACTCTTTCTCTCATTCCCAATCCTTTCTGACTCCTCAGATCTACTGCTAAAGCCAGAACCCAGGGTTTCTTTTATTTCTTAATTTTTAAAATTTTGTTTGTTTAGTGACTGGTTCTGATTCTGCAGCCCAGGTTGTTCTGGAATTCACTGTGTAGTCAGGATGGTTTTGAACCCATGATTGTCCTCCTGCCTCAGCCTCCTGCTGGATGCCGGGGTTATAGGTGTGATGTAGCACACTTGGTCTAGGTCCATTCCTCACATATCTTTTCTCCTGCCACATATGTTCATGGAGTCATGCCATTTCTATCCCAGAATATATCTGGAAATTTGAAACCCTATTCCCTAATGGGCACTATAGAAGCCATCTATGCTTTCAATAAGGTCCTTAGTCTTCTGTTTTTATGGTTTTGCTTTTGCTCCACCGATACTTAATTTTTCTTTTTATTGACATGTTCTGGCTATAAAGCTCAGGCTGGCTTTGAACTTGTGATCCCTCCTCTCCTGTCTTCCAAATACTTGGATTGTAAGCATGTACCACTAGCTTAACTAAGTGTTTTGTTCTTTTCTTCCTTGTTTTTGTTTTGTTTTGTTCCTTCCCTCTGCCTCCCCCCGCCGCCCCCCACACGCCACTTCCTCCCTTCCATAGTGCTAAAGGCAGAACTTGGGGCCTTGTACATGGTGGGCGGGTGCTCTGCCATGCTGCTACATCCTCAGGCCTTGATGTAGTTTTAGTGTGCTTCCTAGGGATGAAGTTTTCTCCTAAGTCCTAGGTTTTATTTTTTGGGGGTTTTTTTTTTGTTGTTGTTGTTTTGGTTTTTTGTTTTGTTTTGTTTTTTGAGGCAGGGATTAAAGGCGTGCACCACCACCGCCTGGCTTTCCGAAGTCCTAGTTTAAGCCCTGTCTAGTGCTCATCTTTCTGTGAGCTTAGTTTGCTTTCAGTGACTTCCTTCTTGAACATCATTTTGTTACAGTCTTTAAGCATGACCCCGAGACGGCAGACAGTGAATGTAGACTGCTGGACCACATTCAGTGTTGCTGGTTATTAAACATGGGCTAACTTAAGTAGTCAAGGCTATCCTTTAGTGATTCCTGTTTACAGCATCACATGATTATGTAAGTATCAGTAGTAAAACTTTTAAAGCAGGAGACCTTTGTCTCTAAACTATTTATTCTCTCTGTGAAATGCACAAGATCCTACCACTTTTCACCAGTCACCATCACCAGGTGCTGTGGGAGCCCCCGCTTTTTGTCATGTGAAAGCATCCGTAGTGCCTACATGCGTAGTCTACCCTCTAGCTTCATGCAGCTTTCACTGGGCATCTCAGATACAGTCCTTCTAATATTTTATAACAATTTATTTTTTAAACAACTCTACATTTTCAAAATTCTTTCAGTTTTTCTTAAAGACCCCTTCCTTTTTAAATACAAAAGAGCTCCTAATATTGTTTTAATCTAACTTTAAATTGCTTACGATTGATTAACTAGAGTGTTGCATTGTTTGTTGATATGAAATATATTTATCCAAGATATAAGTTTATATATTTGTTTTGATTGTATTTGTAATTTGCACTTTAGGGTTTGAACAAATAGACTTGCTTACAATCTTGCTGAAGACTTTAACTTCTAACCAATTATGCCTGTATTCCCAGCACTTGAGAGGCTGAAGTAGGAAGGTCTGAAGCCAGCCTGGCTTACAGAAGAAGACTCAGCTTTAATGAGAAATGCGTGTTTTAATTTTATCATCCTTCAGTGTCCGTTATGATTGAGTCTAGCAGCTAGTCAGTAGTCCCCTTATCTCAGTTCTCCACGCTGGCTCAGCTGCTCTCCCCTTGGGTGTGTCCCACTGGCCTCAGTGGTCAGATGGCAGGACATTCATTGGACCTTTTCTTTAAAATTATGAAGGACTTTTTTTCTTTTTAAATCTCAGCTCATCCTTTGTGTTGATTTCACTGTCCTTTTCCCCATATTATACCATTAAGGTTGGTATAGTACTGGGCATGGTTGCCCAGTTATCTTTAATCCTAAGGGTACGGTTATCTTTAATCCCAGCACAAAGGCAGTAGATCTCTGTGATTTCAAGCCCAGCCTGGTCTGCATAGCTGAACAGATCCAGATGTTGCCTAGTTCCAAGAGAAGCCTGTCTGATGTGCACAGTCGTGTATTGCTTAGTGAGAAATTGTGTGATGATTGTGTTGTTGCATGAACATTCTATTATCAACTTGCACAAACTGTGATAGCCATGTCACTATATAGTGGGATCTTATTGGCCACCATCAAATATGCTGCTGTCACTGACTGCATCTCCCATCTTCTTGTTCTGCACTTTTATTACCTTTGACATCTCATTCTGAACCTTAGTTTTCCTTAGTAGCAGTTCATGAGTAGCTTGTATCTGTAAACATATCTCATATTTTACATTTCATTTCAACTTGCTCCTGAAATAAAATTATGCATACTGTTAATGTTCAGTAAAAATCTCATTGTGTGAATTACCAAAAGTGCATACATTGTTCCCTCTCACTGCCTGGGACTTAGATCTTTCAATTGTAGTTATTGTCTTAATAGTATTTGTTCTAAAGCAACTGGAGACTCAGCATTTATACATTATCCTTCTTGAGCTCCTTCATATTGTATGTAATAAACCAGTTTTGCTGAGGCCTAAATTCGTTACTATATAGTGTTTGATAATCTTATGGAAGTTGCTCAGTAACTGCTCTGGTTGACTTCTGCAGCACAACACAGCCTGGTTATCCTCTCTTATCCTTGTTAATAAAACAACAGTAATGACAACATGACAGTGTCTTAAATATTTAAATTATGGCTAGATGTAGTGGCACACACCTTTAATCCCAACACTGGGGGGGGGGGGGGGCAGAGGCAGGAGGATCTCAGTGAGTTTCAGGCCAGCCTGGTCTACAGAGAGAGTTCCAGGACAGCAAGGCTGTATCATTGCTGTCTTCTGTTGTACTCAGCTCTGATGCTGTTCATGAAATGTTCATATGTATGCTTTGGAAAAGCCAGAATTTTCACTGTATTTTCCTTCTTTTCCAATTCTATTCATTTTTTTTACTCCAATTTTACCTTTTCAACTCCTTTCTTTTTTTTTGTTTTGTTTTGTTTTGTTTTTCGAGACAGGGTTTCTCTGTGTAGCTTTGCGCCTTTCCTGGATCTCGCTCTGTAGACCAGGCTGGCCTCGAACTCACAGAGATCCACCTGCCTCTGCCTCCCGAGTGCTGGGATTAAAGGCGTGCGCCACCACCGCCCGGCCTCAACTCCTTTCTTAATCCACTGAACAACACAAGTTAATAAGAAGAAGTTAGAGTGTGCCTGGTAAGGTGGGAATGTTATGTGTTTAGAGCTTTGGCCTTGTGTAGGCATTCAGGACTGTAGCTCCTTTTTTGTCTGGTTTTAGAATGTATGGTTCTTTAATGGATTAAGCCATTCCAGTATTCCTGATTTAAGGTCTGTTGTAGGAAGTGACAGTTTCCATGCCAGTAACATATGTGAACTAAATGAAATTGCATTGCAGGATCCAGCCGGTCCGCTCTGACCCAGTCAGCATGCCAGGGTCATCTCGTCCAGTCTCTGATCGAAGGGGAGTTTCCACAGTGATTGATGCTGCCTCAGGTAGGGTGCTTACAGAGCATTCCTCGGCTTTTAGGTTTGATTTTCTTACACACTAGAGAGGATGAGACTCATTTTCTTTCCTCTGCTGTTTTGTTGGTTGAGGTTTTCATGTCTTTATACAGTAGTGTGCCTCTATTTGCTACAGAAAACTGCCATGTATTCAGACATTCTTAGTGTTGCTGAGTGGGAAGGTGGAGCCGGCCCTTGATTAAATGTAATGAACATAGTATTGAAGGCTACAGGGTTGATGACTGTTTGCCTTTGATCACTTGAAATGTCAAGCAGCAACCTTGACAGAGAGCATAAATACAATATATGGATTCAATTTACTCGACCTGTGGAGTATCAAAGTGCCTGGTCTGTGGCGGCAGAGGCAGTCCAAATGTGCTATCTTAGATAGCCTCACGGAGCTGAGAAATTCATCAGCTTAACCCTGGTGTGTCTCCTACAGTTCTTAATTTCCTAAGCTTGCAATCAGCCTGTGAATGTGTAGCATTAATTTCTGGAACATGACTCCTTAGTGACTCTTTGGCTCTGGTGGCTTCATTTGTATTATGGAGATGTTCTCGGCAAAGCCTGGTGAGTCACTGAGCTGGTTGTGATAATTCGCTTTCTTGTGTCCAAGATGAGTGTAGAAAGGGAGAATGATGGTGCACACAGTGTTGCCACATGTGGGGAACATCTGAAGATCTCACAGGATGGGTGTGACCCCAAACTCTGTCCCGGTGGATTTATCAATAATTCCGCAGTAGTTGAAGAGTTAAATTAGAACAGATTTTAATCTGTGGCGGTTTCAAAATCCTCACAAACAGTTGATTTGATTGAGGCTTAAGCTGTGAAAGAGCAGAACCCATTACAAGACTGCTGCCTGATTCTGTCTCAAAGTGCATGGGCTTCGTGTATTTTCTTAGTTCCGAGTTAGGTACTTATTTTGGTCAATTGATTACACTTCAGGTCGTATCAAGCTGTCTATATCCATACCTATACCTCCACTGTAATGTAGGGTCTTTGATTAGCATATACATTCTTGTTTTTCTGCTAGAAGTTGATAAATATGGCTGTTGTCTGCAACAGGCAGGGACCTGGGTGAGCTCTCTCCTGGCTCCCCTGCATCAAGTGGGACTTTTTTTTTTTTTTTTTTAAAGATTTATTTATTTGTTATGTATACAGTGTTGTGTCTGCATGCATGTCTACAGGAAGAGGGCACCAGATCTCATTACAGATGGTTATGAGCCACCATGTGGTTGCTGGGAATTGAACTCAGGACCTCTGGAAGAGCAGTCAGTGCTCTTAACCTCTGAGCCATCTCTCCAGCCCAAGTGGGACTTTTGAGATCAGTAAGGAACAAGCATTTGGGTAGCGCCAACAGGGAGCTGGTCTGAAATCACTGCTTACCGTGTTGAAGTACTTATTCATTATTATGTTCAGGCCTTATTAGGCTTTTAATAAATTCTTAAACTCTACAATATTATTAATTTCGCTGTCAAACAATTAGGCACTAGTAATGCATGCTGCCAAAGTGGTTGCTGTGTGTCAGGTGTATTTGAGATGGTATTCTGAAGTAATAATGCATATTATATTGATCAGAGAACAGTTTTAGCTTTAGGTTAAGTTGTTTCATGAATAAGGAGAAAGTTCAGTAAACCATTTAATCCATTGTGTATGTTTTTTAAAAAAAAACAGAATTTAATTTGACTTTTGAGTAATAGAGTAGAATCACACTTGATCTGCTTGCATCCCTATCAAAGGTGCAGCCTAAGGTTTTGTGGGTTGTTGCTTTGTGGCCTTTAACCTCTGAAACTGCCAACATTTTGGGTAGAGAAGGGACTCTTTTTTTTTTGCTGGCCGAGCTCTGTTACTATTTATTTATTTTATGCCATTTTTCCTCCTGAAATCCATGTTTCCTTTATGAACTATCCAGGACAGTAAACGTGTGTGCTGCTCTAACTCTGAGCAGAGAAGCCTTAGTCACGAGGAATTGGACTCTCGTGGGTAATTCTCTTCAGCTCCCTCTCACATGGTTTGGATCTCTTGATGAGGAGTCTGTGTTGTTTGGTTGAATGGATAATATTCTGTTATCCAGCTTCCGTCTGCTTTAATCAGGTCACTGCTGTTAACTGAATCACTATTCTCCCAATGTTTAACAAAATGAGACTAAATGATTGTAGTTCTCTGTGGAAAGAAGTTAATGCGGTAATTCTAACAGATTCCATTTTCAAAAGTAAAACGTTCATTGAAGTTGTCCCTGAACCAGGAAGCAATGTTTTCACTGTGGCCCATGTATTCGGATGACGTTTGGTGACCAGTTGCTGAGAGAAAATTCCCGATGTGGGATCTCCTTTTTTAGGCTTCGTTGTTCTGCACTTCCTTGGTCCATTCTGTACTGCTTCATGTACTACTGTCTTCCCACTTTCCCTTTGGCATATTTTATAGCTGTCCTTCAGTTTTGGTGGCAGAACCTCCTCTGTCTAACCCTGTGGTGGTGGTAATCCTTTTATACTTAAAAATTTTGCAAAGATAGTGAAATAAAATTTAGTGTGTGTGTGTGTGTGTGTGTACATATATAAATTACCCGTCAGAGAATTTATATACATATATAGCACATACATACATACATACATATCACACACACATTCTCAGACACAGAATAAATTTCAAAGTGAAAATATTTTATTTAAACCTTGTTTCTGGATGTTGGAAAGATGGCTTAGCTCTGTTAGGAGCACTTGTTCAGTTCCCAGCACACCCACTGCATCTCAAAACCCTCTGTAAATCTAGATCCAGGGGATGTAGTGTTCTCTTCTGGCCTCTGCAGACATGGCACACTCGTGGTACATGCCAAACCCCCATACACACAAAATAAAATAGGGAAAAGTTTTAAAGCCTTGTATGAAGAGTTTTTATTTTAGCTATCTGTGTGTTAGTGTGACATTATTCTGTTGAACAAAAAAGATCTTTCATAACTTACCCGTTGTTAATTGCCATTTCATTCCTTCATGTAGCGATGTGTGTAGAATGCACATAAACACACACACACACTCACTCACTCACTCACATGCATGCACATGCACGCTGTTAACTTTTACTGGTCGATGCACAAGGCAAAGTCTATGTCCTCAGCTACTATCTCTGCAAATATGTGCATTTCAGTTTCTCAGCTGATCATAGATATTTGATAAGTAGACATTATTTTTATCTTAGCTCTGATGATGCAAAATAAAAACACTGGGTTGCCTAAATTTGGAGCTTCAGTGATTGTGAGATATTCTAGTCTCAAGATGAAGGGAACACCATTCTTGAAAATTTTCCCTAAGGCACAGCCTACCCAAAACAAATAGGCCCTGAGCTCATTGCTCACTTTTATATACACTCAAATAATTTAAAAAACTGTATTTTTGAATCATATGTAATATTTTTAGACAAAGCATTAGTTTAATTTTTTTCTCATTGTTTGTACCTAATACTGTTATTCCTGTATTTTAACTGAAATATAGGACTTCTAAAGAGGAAGCAGCTGGTGTATCATTTGAACTTAGTTCCCCAATTCCATTTTTTTTTTTTTTTTCCTTTTTTCCCTGAGTCAGTCTTCCCATGTAGCTCCAGCCATCCTGCCTCAGCCTTCCTGATGCTGGGAACAGACACCCACCACCTCACCCACTTGCTTTCCTGCAAGTTTTGGTTTGTGCTTCCTATCCTTAAGATAGCAAAGTGTCATGTTACCTTGCTTTTGCATAATAATTGAAGAGCCACTGGAGATCCAGGTCACCCTGAGTGTGTCCTGGTTTGCCTTTTGCCATAGAGATCAATGCCTATCAACAGAATTCAAAGGACTGAGATTAGAGGACAAACATTCCTGATCTGCATGTGGAGGAGACAGAACTTGTAACTTGATCTACAGTTGCCATTCATATTGGAGGTAGACTTTCTCAGCCACCACAGTCTTAGGCTATCAGAGGTGCTGATGGGAAGGAGTATTCAGTTTGCAATGGTGCAGCTTTGTAGTCATAAAACTAAAACTGGCTGGGAGAAGCTGTGATATTCATGTTCATGGTCTGTAAGTTCATGGTCCTACTTCACTGTTTTCTGCAGCCTCAAGTGGAAAATGAGAATTCTGTGTAGAATTTGGATTTCTCTTTCCTTGAGAGGGATGTATTTAAGTTACTTCCTAAATAATTCCCAGATAGAAAATATGTAATCTTCTTTAGAAATATGAAGGTAATAAATGATAAGTCTTTCAAGTCACACAGTTCCGGATATTGTTTGTGATTATAAAGTGACGAAAACCCTAGACTTGTCCCTTGGGTCTTCAAAGCTATTGTTGGAGCAATAAGAGGATTAAGGAAAGGGGCAAAATTAAAAGAAGGCGCAGTGCTGATCTGTGAACAGCCTCTGTGAAGAGGAGAGTATCCAAACTCAGTTATTAAGATTAGCATTTTTAATTAGAGTGTGGGCATTAAATCTGTTCTCATCCTTTGAACACCTACCATTCATATAAAATTTAAAAGTAAGTTTCTGAGACTAGGTCAAAACAAAACAAAACATGAACTCCACTTTGACCCTAAGGAAGGCGCAATGTTTGTGTAGCTGGAAGCCCACGATAGCAGTGGTACAGGGACAGTGCGTGGGGCAGTATTAGAAACTCTTCCATTTGTCTTTGTGACGTGATTGTTAAATTCTAAGTGTCACGCTATTGTAAATTGTGTCCTAGAGCCTGAGAGGCTCATGCTTACAGGTGTCATCTGTACATTAGAAGCAAACGAAACCCCTCTCTGAAGCACAGCGAGTCCCTCAGGCAAGTAAAGAACAGGCTGAGACCTCATCCAGACAGCAGGCTGGAGCCTGGGCTCCTCACATTCCTCTGGATATATTTGGGGACTGTCGCAGAAAAGCTAAAATAAATAATCCAAATGAAAATGTTTGTTCCTGAGAAAAGAAGTTCTGGAAGCTTGTGCTAGCAGGAACAAGAATGGCTAACCCAAGTCTGAGGGGGACTGTAGTAG